GGGAAAGAGATCTTGGGGACATAGTGGATAGCTCAATGAAAGTGTCAACCCAGTGTTCCACAGCAGTAAAAAAAGGCCAGTTTTATGTTGGGGATTATTAGGAAAGGGACTGAAAATAAGACATCAAATAATATTTTATTTTTATTTACATTATTTACTTTACTTGCAGTCTGCCTTTCTCACTGATACCTAAGGCAGATTACACAATGTAAGTCAATGCCCTGTATAGATCTAGGGAGTGGCTCCGTTTGGAATACTGTGTGTAGTTCTGGTCACTCCATCTCAAAACAAACATTGCAGACCTGGAAAACATACAGAAGAGGGCAGCCAAGGTTATTAGGAGGTGACCTATGAGGAAAGACTGAAGAGTTTCCTCATTCCCTATGAGGAAAGACTGAAGAGTTTTGGGACTTTTCAGTTTAGAAAAGTGATGACTAAGGGGGGGGGGACATGACAGAGGTTTATAAAATGTGCACAGAGCAGAGGGAGTGGACAGAGAAAACACTGGAATTTGGGGGTACCCAATGAAGGTGGATGAGCAGTAGATTCAGGATGGGCAAAAAGAACTACTTATTTACTCAAATAATTAAAATGTAGAATTCACTGCCAGATGATGTAGTGATAGCTGCAGGAATAGATGGCTTTAAAAGGGAAAAAAAGCCATTGGTGACAAAAGAGACCCTCCACATGTAAAGGCAGTAAACCTCTGAATACCAGTGCCAGGAGGCAATATGCGGGGAAGGCCTTCACCTCTGTATCCTGTTGCTGGCCCTCTAGAGTAGCTGAATGGCTGCTGTGTGAAACAGGATGCTGGACTAGATGGACCACTGGTCTGATCCAACAGGGCTCTTCTTATGACAACCCTGTGTGTACCTGACCGCCCTATCTACACTTGACTTGAGATCAGCCACAGTGATGTCTGCAAAGATATGATGGGCAGCCTCCACTGAGATAATTCTGAAGCATCTTGACATTGCAAGCAATTGACTAACCCAATCACACGTGTTCCAGAAGCACAATAGAGTCAGTCAGTCAACCTTTATTGGCATAGAAAGCACAATAGAATTACCTATCTTCAGCATGGGCTGTTTGAAAGGAAACAATCTTAGAGCAAGATTCAAATCCAGTAGCACCTTAAAGGCCAACAAGATTTCCAGGTCATAAGCTTTTGAGAAAAGTATCTGACAAAGGGAGCTTATACCCTGGAAGACATGTTTGTTTTTAAAGTGTTACTGGACTTGAATCTTGCTCTTCTTTTGCAGACCAACACAGCTAACCACCTGAATACTAGAGCGGTAAACCATACAGAGACACAGTGGCTGGGCAACCTCACAGGAGCCTTTTAACAAAAATAAATTTGTTAGCATGGGAGACCTTCTGAAGGTTGCCACCCTGCAAATGGTTCACGTGTATTCTTAGTGGTGCTTCCACCTTGTGAAATGGCCAGCCTGAGGAGGTCAGGAAGATTCCCACACTTCTGCAGAATGTGCAAAAGAAAAATGTTCAGGAAGGCATTTTTATAAAGGGATTAGACCTGTACTAGAATGGAACCATCCAGGAGGGCACCTGATAATGAAATAGAATTGTAGACTACTGCAATGATTATTGTATGTGCCTTCTGCTTTTACTGTATTGTCTTAGACCTTGTAACTCCAGTTTATGAATAGTTTAGGGCATACTTTGCCTCAGACAGTTTCTTGTGTTCATTGTTCTCTAATTCTGTAATCCACATCCTATTGCTTTGTTCATTATTGTCTTGTGCTGTCTGATTGCACTGCTTTATATTCTGTAACCCACCCTGAGTCTCAGTAAGAAAGGTAGGTAATAAATAAAGGAAATGAATAAAGGAAAATGTTGCAAGATGCAACGTGGTTGTTTTCATACAGCACAAAAGTACCCAGGGGTCATTTAGTAGAAAAAGAGCTGCAGGAGCTCATTAGCATAACTTATTAGCATATGCCACACCCCCTGACATCACCGGAAGTGTGCACCAGCCCCTCTGACAGGCAGAAGCACCTGGCAAAGGAAAAGGGGAGGGGGAGGATCTCAGGCGCTTCTGCCTGACAGAGGTGCTGACGTGCCCACAGCCAGCCTGGGTGCATTATAGAATCATAGACTCAGAGTGGGAAGGGACCTCCAGGGTCATCTAGTCTAACCCCCTGCACAATGCAGGAAATTCACCAATACCCCCCCACACACCCCAGTGACCCCTGTTCCATGCCCAGAATATGATTAAAAAAACCTCCAGGATCACTGGGGGCCAAACTGGCCTGGAGAAAAATTGCTTCCTGGACCCAAAGTGGCGATCAGCATTTCCCTGGGCATGTAAGAAAGGGCCACAAGAACTAATGTTAAGTCCGTGCTTAACAAAATAGCCAGAGAGTGATTCAGCAAAACTCAGGTTTATTTCAGCTCGACGATCAACTTCTCTGACACGGTACAACTTCTCTGATAGCCCGAACAGCTTCCCATTGCAGCTGCTCGGTATTTAAACATTCCCGGCTAATATAGCCACGTCTACTATACAGTTAACCACAAGAACTAAGCACTGATTCAACCCTTCCTGCTCTACCTCTCGTGATTTGCCTAAGTTCACACAATCAGCATTATGATCCTTTTTAAAGTTGAAAGCATGATATAAATGCAAAGGACTATTTGTAAGATTATCTGTAAGACACAAGACCAGGACGCATCTCTCTTCTGGCAATCACTTGGAGAGACCCTATCACTCAGCTTCCATTGCCCCCCACACACCCCACACTGGAATAAGAACATAATATCAGGCCATAGCACATTGCAATAAAGC